GAAACTCATACTTAACATCAGGAAGAGATGTTTGAAATGTCTAGGGTACATAATGAGGAAAGAAGGCTTGGAAAATCTGATACTCACAAGACACATTGAAAGTAAGAGGGACAGGGGGAAAATGCATTACATACTTTGTAAGCTTGAGTAAATTAATTGCGGAACACGCTTTAGTAGAAATAATAATAAAAAAAATCTATTAAGAGCTACGAAGGACTTGTAGAGAGACATGATCGCCTACGTCCTGAAGGGACACGGTACATAAAAAAGAAGCTATTCACGCTGACCATGACTACACTTATCACTTCTGAATCAGCTTTCTACTCGATAATTTTGACTAGGTATTTGACCATTTTTTTTTTTTCCCTAGAGCTTCACATTTTAGATATTCACACAGCTTGTGCATGTTGATGTTAAGAGTGCACCGGTATGGAAATAGGATTAATTCAACAGAATTAATATTTTATGTTTCATCCGTTAGAACTTCACCGGACTGGGTTTGTTGACGTAGCTGTGAATTCACATGCGTATGAATTGTAGAAGCAGGTATTTCAAAATGTTTGAAATAATTCTTTTGCAATCTAGCCATATTCATCTGTATACGTTTTGTTTTTCTTTTCATCATCTTTGTTCGTAAATATCCAACATTGGGATAACAAAAAATCTGCCAAGAATGGCCTTATGTTGAAAGAACCTGGACGCAAATTTACTGAATTAGCGCTTAAAGCACTTTACTAGACATTTTCATTTTACATTATTTACATTATTCGGACTATTGTCCTCATCTTTGTCGCCAAATTTATCACAACGTTTCGGACACATGGAAAAGTGGATAAAGGCGTTGGTTAGATCCAGTGACAGGACCCCGGAGAGTGTGAGTTCAATACCCGGTTAAGGCAGTGGAGAACTTTCAGAGGGAAATTAACAGGAGATAACTGATAACTGACATCCATCAAATATGGCACATGGAACTAGAACAGTCTAGTTCAGTGAGCGAAATAAAGGGTTCAGTTCGACATTCTAACTACCTGAACAAGGCCGGAGCGAACAACGGCCGAAACGTTGTGATAAATATAACGACAAACATGAGGACAATAGTCCGAATAATGTAAATAATGTACATAATACCTCATCTCAGAAATATAGATAGATTTTAATTTTAGTGAATTATTTTCTCTTTTAAATAGAGTTGCATTTTTGATGTCAAAAGAGCATTCAGTTTCGTTACGGTCAACAACCAAAGCGTTTTGTGCATCTCTTTTATGTTCATATAGTCTTTTGTTTAAACTTCTTGAAGTTACTCCAATATATTCTTTCTGGCAATCATTGATCTTGATAAAGCAAATTCCTCTTTCAAATTTTGGTTTATTGTAAAGTTTTGTATTGATTAAGTCTTTTATTGTTTTAAATGTAGTAGTAACAAATTATATATATATGAAAAGTGTGTATATATATATATATATATATATATATATAAGGGTTGGACAAAATAATTGGAACAGTTGCAAAATTCACTCCTATACTTCAAAGACCTATTATATTAAGAACTTTAACTAAAACTTCGTAATTGCAGGTTATATCTATTGTAAATACGTTAATTTTTCTAATTTACTGTCTTTGTCTTATTTATTTTTAGAATTTAGTAAAATTTAAGCTAAATTCGTGACCTCTCAGAGTTCGAAAAAGAGCAGATTGCTGGAGCTCGCATGGCAGCAGCCTTGATCACTAAGGTTGCTAAACTGTTTTGTTTTTCAAGAGCTGCCATATCAAGAACACTGGTGCAATTCGAGAAACAGGGCAAGACCTCTAGCAACCGTGGCAATTCAGGCCGGACATGCAAAGTTATTGACAGGGACTGACGTGCATTGAAACGCAATGTGGCAAAAAATTATCGGACAAATGCGGCCAAAGTGACAGCAGAGTTGAATAACCATCTGAATAGTTCAGTTTCTACTGAAACTGTTCACCGTGACCTCCATAATGTTGCATATCATGGAAGAACCGCTGTGAGGAAACCTCTTCTCTCCACTCGCAACATTCAAAAGAGGTTGAAGTGGTGCAGAGGTCACAATGTCTGGTCTGGAAGCAAGTTATATTCTCAAACAAGTCCAGTTTTACTCTTTTCCCAACTTCAGGTTGAGTTTATGTGTGGAGGCAGCCCAAAGAAGCTTACAACCCTGACTGCCTTCTTCCAACAGTGAAGCATGGAGATGGATCAGTGATAGTTTGAGCCGCCATATCATGGAAATGTCTCAGTCCAATAGTTCGCCTGCATAGTAGAATCAACAGCAAAGATTACCTGGACATTTTAGGAGATCATGTTCATCCAATGGCAAAGACTTTATTGGTGACTGCATCTTCCAAGACGATAATGCTCCAATACATACCACTCGAGTGGTTAAGAATTGGTATGAAGAGCATGAAAGTGAGCTAGAACACATGGAGTGGCCTCCCCAATCTCAAGATATCAATATTATTGAACATTTGTGGTGCATTTTGGAGCAACAAGTTAGGAGCCGCTATCCTCCACCGTCGTGTCGTAAAGAGCTGGAGAAGGTTTTAATGGAAGAATGACTGAAAATTCCTCTGGATGAAGTCAGGAAGCTGTATGATTCCATTCCTAGACGTATTAAAGCTGTCTGTGAGGCTAAAGGAGGACCAACTCCATATTAAATAAATTTTCTTTGAATTTAACAAATGTTCCAATTATTTTGTCCAACCCCTGTATATATATATGTGGAATATATTATATATATTATTTATATATTATATATATATATATATATATATATATATATACTCAATATCAGATGTAGGGTAACATATTTAGTTGGATTGACATCAATCCAACTAAATAGATATATATATATATATATATATATATATATATATATATATATATATATATAAATATAATATATATATATAATATAATTATAATTTTAAGTAATATATATATATATATATATATATATATATATATTGTAGAGAGAGAGAATAGAAAAGTTCAGAGCAGATAACATTAGAAAGATTTTGCGTCCCATGAAAATAAGTGGATACAACGTCTAAAAATTCAATATCCATTCAGGCTAAACCATAAATTTAACAATATAGATAGTACCAATATATAAAATCAACAAATCAAAACCTACCAACATTTCTCACCCACACAAGACAGACATGCTGACTCTCTCTCTCTCTCTCTCTCTCTATATATATGTTGAGGCCTCATATATATATACCCATACCCTCACGAACATACACACTTAGATACATCATACTCATAGATATCCCTAATAAGCCAAATGATAACACACCCCCATAGCAATATAGACACGATTAGACATATCATAACAGACTCCCCTAAGAACCAAATAACATACACACAAACACTAAACAGAGACACATCCCCTATCCAGGACCAATAAAACTGTCAAACTGGCCAAGGGAATTCAGTTCCTGTTAGATCCATCCAGTCTCTTATCTCAAATAACGACTTAAAACAGACTGTTTGACCCACACAAGCAATGTTGAAAGATTCATGTTAAAAGACAAAAAAAAAAAAAAGGGTACAGACAAAAAGTTCATTTTCTCCATTAAGACATTCATTTCTGTAGTTTAATGTAGACCAGTCGTCAGAAATATTTCTTCTCCCGATGATGGCCATTTTGGCCGAAAATAGTCGAGGAATCTAAATGAAATAATAATAAAAAAACGAAAGAATATTAATCTACAAATCAGTGTGTCTGAAGATTTTAATTTTTTAATTAATTAATTTTTTAATATTTTTTTATTGTTCAATATATATATATATATATATATATATATACACACAAATTTTGCTATCTAGCCAAATTCATTAATTTATTAAATATACCACATTGTGATAATGAAAAATCTGCCCAGATTGGCCATACGTTGTAAGAATCTGGATCTAAATTTACTGTTGCTGAACTAGAGATTAAAGCACTTTTCGTCTTAATGAATTATTTTCTGTTTTAATTAGTTTTGCATTTTTATGCCGAAATTGTGGTCAGTTTCGATCCGATGCCAATGCATTTTGCGTGTTGTTTTTAAAATGTCTCTTCTGTGTTCAAATAGTATTTTGCTTTAAACTTCTTGCGGTTTGGTTTTGTATTGATTAAGTCTTTTATTGTTTTCAATGTAGCTGTGATAAATTTGATGTTGTGTTTAGATAAATTCGTATCGATTGTAGTTGTGATAGAACTAGTGGATAGAATAATATATTTTTTTCATTCGTTGGTTTTTCGATTTTAAAAAAGTTTAAGCAGTCTTTCGCATTGAATATGAAATAGTTAGGATACTGAAGGGTCTTGAAAGGATTTTCAGTATAATTCTCATCTTTGCAGCCCTTGATATTTAAAACGAATAGGAGAAAATAATTTCAAAAATTTTTAAACACCCAGTATTTCTCGTTCATGCTCATGCGTAGTCCCAACAATGTCAACAAACCCAGTCTGATGAAGTCTTAACGAATGAAAGTCATATTCACTCTTTCCAATTTGTCATGGACTTTTCTTTCAAAACACAGCTCTTGAAATATACAAAAAAAATCATATCGTTATCTCAAAGATTTCGGTATCTATCTATCTATCTATCTATCTATATATATATATATATATATATAAAACATCCTTTTCGAACGGTGACTGTCCATGTAGCAAGTATGGTGATATCATTATAAACTGGACAGCGATTTGTGTCTTATGCTCCACTTACTTAAGCTTTGTAAATATTTAGATGATATTGGCCATTAAAAGAAAAGGAAAATTCCTGAAAAAAAAAAACAAAAGGAAAAAATACATGAAAACGGAAGGAAAGAAGGAAGGAAGGAGAGAAGGACGTTTACTGAAAAAAGAAGGAGAATTCTTTTTCTCCTGATGAAGGAAAAAAAAAAAACTAGTCGAGAAAGAAAATTGAAAGGAATTGAAATAAAAAAAACGAAAGGAAAAAGGACAACCCAGAAGGAAGGAAGGATTTTAAGGAATAATATTTTTATTATTCAAAAGGGATAACCGACGATTGAAGGAAACTCTTTGGACGAACGGAAAGAGGGAAGGAAGAACGGATGTTCTAAGGAAGAAGAATACAGAGAGAAAAAAGAAATAAGAAATTATTATAAGTAAGAAATAATTACGAAGGAAAGATTCAGTGAAAAGAAAAAAGGAAGAATAACGTTTTAGAAGGAAAGAAAGAAAGAAAGAAGAAAGAAATAAATAAAGAAAGAAAGAAAGAAGAAAGAAATAAGGAAAGAAAGAAAGAAAGAAAGAACTAAAGAAAGAAAGAAAGAATGAATGAATAAATCAATTAATGAATAAAAATGAAAATGATTCAAAGGAAAAAAAAATATCAAGATAAACTTCGGAAATGTTTTTTTGACCGTAACTATTTTTCTAGTTCAACAATAAACCCGGGCTCAGTAAAACATTTAAAGAAAATGAAAGAAAGAAAATCAAATCAAATTGATAAAAAACTTAGAAAATATTTTAGTGCCACCAGCTGTTAATTGTTGTGATTTCTGAAAAAATAAATACATAGATAAGTAAATAAATAAAAATAACAACAACAACAAGAACAATAATAATAATAATAATAATAATAATACGAAGAAGAAGTCGAAGAAGAATCTTGACGTTCACTTCCAGCGTAGCCTGAAGGTTAAGGTCGTCATTAATGCATAAAGACACAATCTCTCTTCCCAGACACACACACCAGAAAAATAAATTATTTTAAAAATATATCAATATATACACCTCTTTGGAAAAGTGTGATTTTGTTTTGTGGATCAAAAATTTTGGAATCTCTATTTTATTTGTATTTATATAAACCTGTATTTGGACAAATTATATTACTATTGACATAATGTAAATGCTTTATTTGATTAATATTCATCCGAGTTTAGCGCCTATTAGAAAAAAAAGTATGGCCATAATGGGAAAAATATTTGGCAAATACTTATAAAGGTTCATTTTCATCATGAGGAGACGCTTTAACTGCATATATATTGAATCAAACTTGGAGCTGGTGAAAAATATACATATTGGTAGATAGTATGTCTGTGTGTGTTCTAACTCATTTGAAAGTAAATCTTTATATTTTTGTATGAAGGGAAAAAAAAAATAAATTTAATTTGTGTAATGCTATAAAAAATGAAGTCAAAATTCGATTGACTTCGATTTTGCTGCTTATACAGTGGCTATTCGTTTCCAAATATATATATATATATATATATATATATATATATATATATATATATATATATTTGCATGTACACAGACACATGCACAAAGGCTCCTTTCAGAAAAAGAACAGACAGACGCGCGCGCACACACACACACACACACACACACACATACCCAAAAGGTCTTCCGTATATAACTGGATGTTAAAATAATAAAAAAAATTCATGAATAATTTTTGAATAAATTCTCCCTCTCGTGATTGGGACACTTTAAATAACTTGTTCGCACTCACAGACACACACACACACACACACACACACACACACACACACACACACACAGATAGATAGATAGATAGATAGATAGAGAAATTTTTACGTCTTTAACTAAAAACGCAAAAGCATTCTTAAAGCATTTGCCGTATCGTTGTTATATGAATAACTCTTAACTTAAAAGTATATGTCCAGATTTTGGCAAATATTGAGATCAGTTGTTAATAAGTCAAGAAAATATGGACGATGAAGCAAAACGTTCCAAATATAGCTTTTTGATTTTTACAGTGTCATTTGAGCTAAATGTATTATTGTTCTTCTGCGATTACCTCATAGTTCTACCCGTTATAACCTTCACGGCTAGCACCCGCCATACTACACACATTTTATTGGAGCACCTTCATTCCATTCGTATTCCATTGGTGAGAAATAAGTCCATCTCAAACTTCCACACAAACCACTGCTATGTGCTACTGATTCCTAAGAGGATGTTTTCCTGATCGTTACAATCTTAACCTGTTCAAGGTTTAGTGTTAACCGTTATCTTCCCCCCATATACGCATAAATTGTGTCTCTTATTCTGTAACCCTCTGCCTCAAGTGACTCTGTGCCCTTGTAAAGGGTGAACTTCACTGTAAAAAAAAATATTTTTATCTCCTGTCAAGCTATGGGTTTAAATAGTAGAGTAAACTAAGCTCTCCAGCTTTGAGTGGTAACTAGTCTAAAAGTAGGAAAACTGAATTCCAGTTCGGGGAGAAGTTAACAGGAAACAACTCCACTATCTTTCCTAAAAAGTTATTGTCTAGTGACAACAAAAATAAACATTGAGGATCTCCGGTTGTGGGTCTGCATTGGCGGTCACAGATTGAGGAATTATAGATCGTATAAATGAAGCCCCCTAGTGAGTGACAAAATTACATTCCACTCGGCAAAGCCTTTCTCACAGACGAAACGTCGGAATGCTTCTCACTGCTCTAATCACTACTTCCTCGAAAAGTGCTCAGACGAACTACATTCTTTAGTTCCAAGAGTTCTAATCATCATGGCTAGAACCCGGACGGCCTTCTTTCCGTCCGTATTCCAATGGGGAGAAATTACTCTGTGAAACCGATTCCCAAGAGCGTGTTTTCCCGATCACTACAATCTTAATCTGTTCAAGGTCTAGGGTTAACCGTTATCTTCCCCACATATAAGGATAAATTGTGTCTCTTATTCTCTAACCCTCTGCCTCAAGTGACTCCACGTCCTTGTAAAGGGGGAACTTCACTGTAAAACAAAGGCATGAATATTTTTCTCTCCTCTCATATTATGGGCTAAATGTTAGAGTAAGCTAGGCTCTCCAGCTTTGAGTGGTAACTAGTCTAAAAGTAGAAAAACTAAATTCCAGCTCGAGTGACAACAAAGACAAACACTGAGGATTCCCGGTTGTGGGTCTGCATTGACGGTAACAGGATTATCAACCACCCAGACCGTACAAATGAAGCCCTAAATAAACAGCAAAGTATATTGCAGACAGGGTTAGGATCTTCATTTCTTATTGTGGCATTTATTTTCACTTTTTCGTTCCTTGTGAACGTGCAACGGTCATTTCCTAGTTATTTTTTTAGTATTCCAATTTAGACAAGTTACTTTGTGAAACCGACTCCCAAGAGCGTGTTTTACCGATAACTGAAATCTTAACCTGTTGATGTCTAGGGTTAACAGTTATCTTCCCCGCATATAAGCATAAACTGTGTCTTTTATTCTCCAACCCTCTACCTCGAGTCTTGTACAGGTTGAGCTACACTGTAACAAGTATTTTGGCTTTATTTCTATGCTTTGTACCTTTCTTTTAATTCTGGTGAGTAAACATTATTTTTACAGAAATTACTTTACAATGTTTTAGAATATAATCGAGCCTATAACACTGGAATCAGGTGCGAATGTTCCATTTTAAGCATGGCAACATTACAGGTCCTCGTAGATCGGAGAGGGTCGTGATTATCTTAGAAATACTTTAATACGTTTGAAAATAGACTGGCAACACAAACCTTTACAGCACACATAGACACAGAGACACAAATACACATTTAAATATATAGATGATTATGATTATAATAATGATGATGGTACTCTCTTAAACGGTAAATTGCCAGCCACGCAAACATTGCATCTTAATTCCCTTTTATTATTTCAGTAGCAATGCTTTATTGACAATGTCCGCTTTTTTCTAGTTGTCTGGAAATAGAAATCTACAAAGCATGGTGACCAACAGTTTCACATGATAAGCTATCATAATAGTTTGATAAAAACTAAAGCCGTGAAACCAACAACACCAGCATCATTTTTTTCTAAACATAGTTAAATAAAGGATCTCCTCTAAAGAGAGATACTTTATTCAATGCTGACCGCTTGATTTGTATTACAACAACTTCAAGAATTCTAAATCTTTGTTTGTATTGAGTTCTAAGTAATATTTTGCTGTTACCTCTTAAAATGTATCATATGTTAATGTTATTTCGGTTATTAGCGATTGTGGTACGTGCGTGAATTGCACTAATTTTTGACAAATGACAAGTTAACCCACGAGAGAGTGTGGTTCTTGTTTGTCCCATGTACGAATTTAATAATTTTTTTTTTATAATAATACTGTTGCTTTTTAATTCTCGTGTCTTTCAGGAGATTGTAGTAACGCTAATAATATATAAACATTAAAAATACTTAAAATTTCAGTTTAAATCATTGTAAATGATGTCACCTTTAAGTGCCTTGAAATTGGTTGAAGCTAATAACCAAATCCAGTTTCATGAGGAATTCTTGATAACGGCTGCAGTGCCAATCGATAGTACTTGGAATCTAAAAAGTTTACCATTATAGATATGATAAGAACCAAAAAAAGTACTCATAACTATAGTAATTCTGTAGCAGGTATATTCAAAATAATCTGCTGCAATATCTCCTTACAATGCATTTGGAAAACTTGCAGAAATTAAAAAAAAAACGTATCTATGAACAGAAAAAGGGTTTTATGCACAAAAATTTACCAAATTCATTGGACATACATAGAGATAAATATAACCACTTTGATCTAAGGAATGTCACACTTATTAAAGGTAAGTTACGTAGATGCTTCTTTAGAATGCTTCTATCAAATCTTACCAAAATATATATATTTGTCTACAGAATTTCTTCAAATATCTTCGTACCTGAAAGGATTACTCTTTTCCCCAGCCAACATACATGGCGATAAAAACGTTCGAAAACTTAAAAGAAAATGGCTGAATTTATAACCTTCTATTATTTAAAATATATCACATAAATTATTCCCATACTAAAGCAATATAAATATTACTTACATTATTAAAAGAATTTACTCACTTTTGTTTATTAGACATCAAATTTCAATTCTTAGCATCCGCCATAATTTACCTCGATAGTAATCATGTTGTATATTGTGGAGAGTTCTTAAATTAGAAGATTTGGAAAAACTAACAACATTGTTTGCTTCTGTTTAGGAAAACTTGTTGCAAAATAATATCCTTATATTTTCCTTGATAACGTCCATCATAGGATGAAACAAGATAAGCTTTCCTTTTTTTTTATCTTTATTCGTATTGTCCTTTTACAGATATATATTTTAGTTATATCTGAACTTTTACACGTGGATCGAGATGTCCCGGATATTTAACTTAAGTGCGACAATGAAATCCGAAGGCGCATAGGAACAGGGAAATATCGCTTTCAGAAACTAAGCAATGCATTAGGAGACAGGAAAAAATCCCTAGAAACAAAGAAAAATTGTACTGAACCACTAAAGTAATATATAATCTCCAAAAGGCAGTGAATGAATTCAAGCGCCCTACGAGGCTGGCATCCCGCTCTCACCCTTTCACTGTTGAAACTACTAAATGTAGCCGTCTCTTCTACTCCAATAGCTTCATGTCTCGCACCTCTCGCCTGTTGAACTCCCTTCCTTATTCCATTTTCCCTGAGAGCTATAATCTCCAACTATTCAAATCTAATGTCAATCGACATCTCCAGTTGCCTTGATCTATCCACTATCCTTCTTCTCATCCTTTCCTCTATCATTCCTATCTGATCTTGCTCCAAATATTCTGTAACCCCTTGCGTCCAAGTGGCTTCCCGCCTTGCTTGGGGTGAAAAGCTTAAAAAAAAAAAAAAAAAAAAAGGATGAAAACAACCTTTAAATTTACATATTTTTCTGGATTATGATCATTTACGATAAATTTCTTGGACATTAAATATTGAAAGCATTTCCTTTGTCTTCTCTGTTCGTGAAACATGTGTATTTAATGAGGAGTCACAGATATTGAAAATATGCTATCAGATGGCGGAAGATCTGAACATTATAGAATATGTCATATTAGACGCATTGAGTGTAATACTTTCAATGATCAATCGGAGCATTTGTGATTTTGTCGTAATTAATACTGTGTAATTCTTTCAATTCTCGGTCAAAAACAGCTGCGACGTTGACTCGATTTCCCAATGTCGCAGTTGATTTTGTTTAGCATAGAATGCAACACAATGACAGTAAACATTCGTGATGCAACGATTTGGATTCGAGGATATTTTGGAAATTTGTCATGTTCAAGTCAGTGAGCAAACCCATTCCAGAAGGTTGAATGTGATTAACTTTTATCACAGGTTTTGATCTGTTAGGCATATATTTAAATATATGCAACTATCGACGCACAAGAGTTAGATAGATAGATAGATAGATAGATATGAACTAAAAAGAATAGATAAATAGGTATGAAGAGACTTAGATATATATGAGGAAAAGTAGATAGATAAATATGAACAGACTTAGATATGAGCAAAAACGATAGACAGACAGACAGATAGATAGATAGATAGATAGATAGATATGAACAGATGAAGATAGACAGCTAAATGAGATATGAGCCAAAAAGATAGATAGATAGATAAGATGTGAGCCAAAGAGATAGATAGATAAAGATGTGTGCCAGATAGATAGATAGATAAAGATGTGTGCCAGATAGATAGATAGATACGATGTGAGCCAAAGAGATAGATAGATAGATAGATAGATATGAGCAAAAAACGATAGACAGACTGATATGAATAGACTGACACACACACACACACACACATATATATATATATATATATATATATATATATATATATATATATATATATATATATATATATATATATATATATATACATACATGTGTATGTGTGAATACTTTAATTTGTAAATTAAGAAATCAAGCAACTTTTGCATTTAATTAACCAACATAAAGTCAATAAATTCAATTTAAATTTTCTGTTCGTAATCAAATTTTATGCTGATCGCACCAAAGCTTAATAAGAAAATTCACGCGTTTTTTTTTTCAAGTGTTTTCATAAAAAAAAATTAAATGAACAGACGGAGAATCCATTTGTCTGTCTTGAAATGAGATTGATTCGTCTGATTTTTGCGTCTTTTTATTCTTGGGAAAGAAGCTGAAGAAATTGCTTATCATTCTTACTTGTTCAATTTTAATAGAATTTCTTTGGCCAATAAAAAGTTCTTAAAATATTTTCAACAGCATTTAAACGACTTTGGTAAGAAAGGAATTTAGACTACAACTAATTCATAAAGTCTGGAACCCAGAGGCAATATTCACTTTCTCACCAAGAGTTTTTTTTTTCTTTTTTTTTTTAAGCTTTACGCCCCGAGTAAGGCGTGAAGCCACTAGGATGCATGGGGTTGCAGAAGATTTGGAGCAAGATCAGATAGGAGTGATAGAGAAAAGGATGAGAAGAAGGATAGTGGATAGATCAAGACAACTAGAGATATCGATTGACATTACATTTGAATAGTTGGAGATTATAGCTCTCAGGGACACTGAAATAGGGAAGGGAGTTCCACAGGGGAGAGGTGCGAGACATGAAACTATTGAAGTAGAAGAGACGGCTATATTTAGTAGTTTCAACAGTGAAAGGGTGAGAGCGGGATGCCAGCCTCGTAGGACGCTTGGATTCATGGAGTCTGGGAACCAGTTAATGCAGCTCATCGGAGCAATTACCATGTAAGTATTTGTAAAAAAGACAGAGAGAGGCGACGGCGCGTCTGTGTGAGAGTGACTGTAGACGAGATGCCAGATCAGCGCCTATTATATTACATATCCGCCTCTGGATCTTGTCAAGAACTCCGAGGTAAACAGAAGGTGCACCAGACCATATATGGCAGCAATACTCCATGCAAGGGCGAATGGTTGATATGTATATTTGAAGTATCAATTCCAGGGAGAAAAATTTCCTGGCGCGGCACAGGGAGCCAACTGTCCTCGCGGTGGACGAAGCGCTGCTAGTAAAGCGCCTTAGTAGGAATAGAAAAGGGTTTTTACTATGAACAAAATCTAGAAAGGTGTTTCAATCTAAGAACTTTCTTCTGACCTCGTTTATTTAACCTATACAGGCGCTTCTAAGAGAACAAGACGCCTTGAAGCGATATTTTATTGGCCGACGAAATCTGAACAACATAAGATCGAGATATGACGCCGTGCTGATGACAGAGACAGAAGGAAAACTGCAGGAGCTACAAATCAAGATAGTAAAGGAAAAGCGGAAGAAAGGGATAAGCCTTAATCGAGATGGTCCGAATATGTAAGTGCGACGAAAAAGAGTGGAATATAGCTTTCTGAAACTAAGCAAAGTATTAAAAGACAGGAAAAATCCCGAAAAAAATACTACTGAACCGATAAGTTAATATCTAATCTCCAAAATGCTGTGAATGTGGAGAATGAAGATGAAAAAGTATTTTGAAACAACAGAGATGTGATTATATCTGAGAATACCATGGACAGAACGTGTGAGTAAAAGGGATGTTTTAAAGAGAAAAAGAGTGGAATATGTCCTTCTGAAATTAAGCAAAGTATTAAAAGAGAAATTCTGAAAAAATAGTACTGAACTGCTAAGTTAATATCTAATCTCCAAAAGGCTGTGAATGTGGAGAATGAAGATGAAAAAGAGATTTGAAGCAACAGAGATGTGGTTATATCTGAGAATACCATGGAGAGAACATATGAGTAAAAGGGATGTTTTAAAGATAATGAGAATCAGAAGAAAAAAAACGTAACAATTCTGGACACAGTGAGATAAGAAGGTTTGGATAATTTAACACTCACAGGAAAATCAAGTGAAACAGGTTGAAAGAGTGAGTATAATGGGAGGTTATAAAGAGGCAATTATCAATTCGAACAAAAAAGAAAGAAAGGAGTTTACAAACGGACTAATGTCCTCATCGTCTTCTTTATTATCGTTGTTCGAAAACAATTTTAGATGTCAGTGGGGTTAATCTTCAGGGAATAGTGAAATACACACTTTATTTAATCTACTAGTGTAGATTGTTCACGTTCTGATATCAGGTTGTATTTTTTTCTTTCTTTTTTTTTTTTTTTAACGCCTGTCCGTGATACTGCTCGCATTAATTCAACCGAGGGTTAGTATATAATAGCCAGGCATTGAACGCAAAATTGCTATTTTTCCAAATTCAAACAAATCCTCTAGATTATTGGGACAATCCCGAACCGAAAACTTCGAGCCTTAAACAAAATATCTTTACCTGTCGCCTGCTGCTACTGCCACGGTCTTTGATACATCTCCTTTCCGCACGATTGACCCCCTCCATTTCCCCTTTTTCCATTCTCTGCCGCTGCTGAAGCTTTTTGGTCCTTTCACTTTCAGAGAGCCCGACGACAAAAAAAAGGTTGTGATAATGACAAAAACGATAAAGACATTAATCCGAATCTAAATAGTGTAAATTATAATAACTACTCACCCAGAAATGCAAACAAAAAAAATGGCAGGAACTTGTGAAGGGCAACGATCGTCCTCGTCCTGAAAAGGAACATGGCACATTAAAGATACTGAATTCGGACGACGCCATTACATTTCAATGGGGCTTTCAAGTGTTTCATAAATTGAATGTGCTTCACTGACCACAATCAAAAGGTCGATAAAAATAAATAGACCCTTAATGAACCAGATACAACAAGAATTAAATTCGGATATGAATATTCAAATATCATTAACATGAAACAAAAAAGAACGAACACATTTTGAAACCAGTATTATACGAGTTCACCTATAACTATAGATATGTGTTTCTCCAAATTCGGAATCTTAGAATAGCGTAGTGTAGTACGGACTTTAGCCGTTAACTTTTGCGAGCAGTACTCTTTGAAAAATTGCCTACAAGAGAAACTCTATATTATATGTTAGCAAAAGTAATTATTTTTTCGCAATGTTTTATATTACACTGCACTCATAATTACAGAGAGATACTAGCAGTGACAAATCCATAATCGAAGCCTCTTGAGGGTGGAACAACCCCTCCCCCCCGCGCCTCTATGAGCCTTCTTAAAGCAACACTAAAAACAATTTACGGAGATCTGAAACCAATCGGTTAAGCTCAAACAAAAACGATTACAGTTTGCCGGCCACTGCCACTGAGTGGACAGGGAAATCATCACATACTTACTCCTATGCCAGCCTTGTGGAAGTGTCTTTTCACGAAAATTGTCTTTCCCGGACACCACAGATTGGACATTGGGGATCTGGCGACAGCAATGCAGCAAGGAACAGTGTTCAAAAGGGAATTGCCAATGGAGTTCCGACCAACCATAGGGTGGTCGAATGCTGATGATAATGATGATAAGGAAAACAAGAAGAAAGTTACTATCAGAGATAAGATTAAGACTGCAACAAGAGTCCATGGAACAGGGTTAGTAGTTTCATGACCGATGCTAAACTCAAACCTTAAACATTATCGTAGTCAGTGCTTATAAGTAATTACCCACTTCCAAAAAAGACCAAATATGTTGCTTAATTCTGTGAAGATCGTCGGCCGGTTTACTGGGAAATAAATCTGTCTTGTTAATGTCCATCTTATTTTCAAATAACAGGAGATAATCGGTACTAGGTAATACACTGCGAGTAGAAAGTATGGAAACCTGACCTTGTGTGCACCTTGGCAAGGTGAAAACATTTTCCCAAAGTGTATAGTTCATTGAGAAATTTTATTAAGGCAATTGTAGAAAATTTACCTGTATTAATATACAGAAAAAATTAGTATATATATATATATATACGCAATTCATATTTTCGTCTTCGATCTGATGAAGCCATAAATGGGCGAAATGCCTTATCGAAACATTATACTTTCATGAACGTTTTGTACAATTGTCATTAATGTATAATTCTGTCGAGATCATTTACCACAAATTTATAACGTGTATATATATATATATATATATATATATATATATATATATATATATATATATATATGTATGTATGTATGTATACATATATGTGTGTGTATGGGTGTGTGTGTGTGTAATATTATAATTTACTTAACTGTAAATATCCAGTCCCCGACAGCAAAGTTTCTTGGTGCCAACCATTCTTCAGGAAGTTCTTCATTTAAATCGGTATATATTTCAGTTTTTTCAATTTTTTCCCGATTTTCCCGCGTTTTGTACACGTGTCCATGAATTTTGCATTTTTTCACGTCTCTTATCTGTGATCCTCATAACTTTTTCGCGTTGTAGAATTTTTCTTCCGCATGTAAATTTTTCCTCGAAATTAGCATTTTTTTATTATTGTTGTTGTGGTATGTTATATTATGAATTGAATTTTATAGTATTTGTTAATTTGTGTTATTAATGAAATTATAATAATTTATGTTATATTATTATCAAAATATAAAAGTAAATATTTGCTAATATGTCGGCATCGGCGCATATATATATATATCAAATTTGTAAAATATAATTTTGTCTTAATTAGCTAGGCTAAATCACTATCCGACTCCCACCCCCTCTAAATCTTTAAATGTCGACATAAAAACAAATTCAAATTTCCATAGTGTAATTTTGCATCATTTCGCTACCTTAAGTCATTCCCCAACTCTCACCTCGTCTAAAACGTTTTTATGTCATATTAATTATAATTTATAAACTCTCCCCTACTTAGAATTTTTCTTTCGTTCTTTTCCGTTAATCCTTTACACCCTCGTTACTTTATATATTTTTTAAAGATTATTTTAAAATTTGTTTTTA